TTAAAGATGGTAAGTGGTGTTTGCCATCATTTTTGAAGAACACTGATGATTTTTCACTGTTCTTGTTCTAGTAACCCAGTAGTTTACAATTTTAGGGAATGTTCAGGATACCTTGTTAAAAATTTAGCTTCGACATTGTGGTGGTTTGAACAAGAATGGCCTCTGTAGGCTCATATGTTAGAATGCTTGGTTCCCTGATTGGGAAGGAGGAAGCGTGTCACTGAGGGCTGGCTTTGAAGTTTCAAAAGCACATGGCATTTCCTGTTAGTTCATTTCCCTCCCTCCCTCCTTCCCTCCCTCCCTCCCTCCCTCCCTCCTTCCTTCTTTCCTTTCCTCCCTCTCTCCCTCCCTCCTACTTGTGAGTTAAATGTAAACTGTGAGCTACTACTCCAGCACCATACCTGCCTGCATGCTCATGCTTCTTGGCATGATGGTCATGGACTCTACTACCTTCTGGAACCATGAGCACCAAATTAAACACTTTCTTTTATAAATTTCCTTGGTCATGGTGTTTTGTCATGGAACTAGAAAATTAATTTAGGACACCTCAAGCTCTGAGATTCAGGTGTTACAGTTCACTGTGCTCCACAAGTGACTCTGAAGCAACAGGTCCACAGACCTTTTGTTCTAGGGGCTCCTAGGATAGTGGGAGAAAAGTTGAGGTTCCTTCCTAAAATCCTCTACCTAGATAGAATTGAGGTAGTCCCTGGGAGAATGTCTGAACCATCTACCCAATTTCCATTTTCTGTTCCTTACAAGATCCGGTCTGCACATGCCCTAGCAATGGATGCTCTTTTCAGCTTGGTAGATAGCCTCTGGGAGCAGGAAGGAGATTTCCACAATGTAGTACAGTCTGAGCATACTGGTTCCTTGTAGCCGAAGGAGTAGGAAACAGTGGTTTTCCTGATGTTGGTCTGTCCCATGCTAGCTCCTTCCTCCTTTCCCTCTTTCCTCTCATTCTGTAGTCCACAGTCACCCCTTGAGGAGTCTGTTCTTTCCTGAGGACAGCTGCCAAGTCTTTGAAGATTATTCTTTAAAAGTCTTTTTCTAATCTCTTACATGTTTTCTATTATTACATTTAAAAAGAAGAACTGAAGCTTGTCGTATTCCTCTGGTGTGTAGATATACTGTAATGTCATTTAAAACTGTGTGCATCGGCAGAATACACTGGTCATTGTTGCAAGACTAGACCAGGCAGTGGATGAAGAAAGAGAAGGGCAGGTTGATTCTGTGGGACTCTTGTCCCATCATCATGGGCTCAGCCCAGTCAGGAGGAAACATCAAACAAGCCCTACTATGAGGTATATACAAAATATCTGACAAGTGTCCTTTAGAAGTACCAAGCTTAGAGCAAACAAGCAAAACCAAAGGAACTGTCACAGGTTAGAGGAAACTCAACTGTGGCAATGAGCTGCTATATGGAGTCTAGGGTTAGCTCCAGACCATAAAAGTACACCCCTGGAGAAATGCTAGTGTAGTCCAGAGTTTAGGGACTGGGAAGAGAGCTCAGCTGGTCAAGTGTTGTCATGCAAGCATAGTTTGGACCCCCCAGCACCCATATAAAATCCAAGCCTGGTGATCGATGATCTCAGTACTGGGGAGACAGAGAGAGGCTCAAGCTCACTGGCCAGCCAGCCTGACAGAATTGGTGACGAACTCTGGGGTCAGTGAGAGACCCTGCCTCAAAAAGTATGCTGGAGAGTTAAAGAAAACTGTCCCCATCAACCTCTGGGCTCCTACAGACACACACCTACCCTACACAAACACACACTCAAAGTCTAGAGTTTGGTTAATACTGCCACTGCAGCCACTGGTTACAGGTGTGCAATTGTAAAGTTCCCTGTGAGATGTGAGGACCTACTCCTTTCTGCCCTTTATCTCACTCTAATTTTGTAGTTTAAGAAAATGGAAAAAACGACATTTGTTTAGTAAGTGTGTATAGTGGCTTAATTTTTGTAAGAATATATTAAAATTCTACTCAGCCCATACCCCTTCCTCAAACATACTTTTATGTTCTAGCATATTACATTATTTATTGTTTAGGCCCTTTGTGGACAGAAAGAAGCAATGAAGTTTCTATGTGTAAAATACAAACAAGTCTAACTACATCTTCATATCTAATTTTAAGGAACAGAACAGGACCGTGGGCCTTACACCTTTGTGTTCTCTTTCTTTGTGGCATCCTGATCCTCTGTCCCCTTCTTGCCACGAGCATGAAACTGCCAGTTGCGGATAATCAGCAGTTTATTTTGCATTTTCCAAACCACGTGAATTACATTCTACCATGTAGCTTCAACTTTTCTCCATATATATGTGTGCATGCTTAGTTCTTCTTCTCTGCTGTACACATTTCTACCTGAATACCTGGTATTCATCCTTTCTCCCCTTGCAAATATACTGAGGCTTTGGGGTTTGGGTTTTGAATGAATGGTGTATATTTTTAGCTGTCTTTTCTGAGGCCAGAGTTAGATCTTGTGAACTCTAGTAACAGCATCCACATTGGACTGTTGCGTTCCATTAGAATTGGTTTTCTTTGATGTTAGATTAAAATTTTCTTGAGGGTCTAATTACCTTGAGTGAACATTTACTGGGATAATAAGGATCTAGTGTTAATTGAATAAGTAAGTATTTTTATTAATTAAATACTGTCTACATATCTCAAGTATACTTAAGTATTTATGTAGTATTGCCTTCTTGGGACTTTTTATTATTAGAAAGATTAATGCAGTATGAGGAACTGGTCACTGTTGTTGGAAGTGTAGAGCCGAACTGAAACCTTCAGCTTCAGAAGGAGAATTCTCTAGTGAGCTTGGAGGCTCCGTCGGCACAGCTGCTCCACATTTATCACTGTAGAACTTGTAACTGGAGTCATGTTCCCTGCCTTGGGCATTGCAGAGGGGAGGGCAGTTCACTGATTTGTACTGGAGCAAAATTCTCACTTTGGTGCATTATTCTTGCTAGAAGATTTTACTGTTTGTGATCATTTAGCGTTTGTCCCCAGAGTGGAATGGCACCTGTTAGCACCCCCCACATACACACACACACACACACACACACACACACACACACACACACACACACCATTATTTTATTCAGATGTTTTTCTTACTCTACAAAAACTCTTTCACAGCTCTCTCGCCTATCGTATTTGACTGTTTCAACAGCTTGGTTAGATAATTAAGCAGTGACAATTATCATCCATATTTTACAGGCTACAAATACTGGAGAGAAAGTTGGGAAAGGTTGGCTGACTTATGGTCACAGGCTAGACTCCAAACCAGAACTTTCAGCCCAGTCCTATCCAGTTATTAAAGCTTTAGCTTTAAACATAAAGGAACATATTAACAACATGTGACTGCGTCTCCAGTATCAGTAACATATTGTGTCTTTGACAGTTAGGAACAGTGACCTGGAAGTTTCTGACATTGTTAGTGATAGACTGGTAGCTGCTTTTGGTGCTCCTTCTTTGTTAAAAATCTCCCAGGAAAGCTTAAGCCAAGCAGTGTAAAGAACACAGGGAAGTCTTGTAAGTGAAGCATATGGTGAAGTGTGGGCAACCTGAAGCTGCAGTGTCTGAGAAGACAAATGGCTTTTTGATGGCTTTAGACCTACTGATGAATTAACACCTCTCCACATATAGAGTGGCTGATCACTCAGATTGCACTTTTGAAGCTGCAGAGGCAGTGCACTTAGGATACTGTCTTCATGTCAGAAATGCACTTTTGTGCTTGAAAATGATAAAAAATTACAATCGATCCTTACAACTGTTCTGTTCATCTTTATTGATCAGGTGCAAGAAAGATAAATCGTAGCCCAAATAAGATTATAGTAAATGTTAGCATCATAGGGGACTGGAGGTTGATAGAGAGCCATTCATCATCTCAAATGGTGACCTGTCCATGGCTCCAGCCACCCCAGTCTGTTGTCTAATCACATACCTATTGATTTTATCTGCATCTTAGAAACCTGGATGTGACTGTCATTGGGCAACCCGGATTGTTAAATGCAAAGGGGTCACCGGTGTGAGGAGGCTTTCATTTTCATTTTCTTACCAACCAACAATGATTTATTAAAAAATAAACTACCCCAAGCTGTGGATGTGAAACCCGAGTGATTAGGGAGTGAAGGCACACAATAGAGCTCTGTATTGTTTTGCATCCTTCTGCTCTGCCCAGTGTTTTTCAGGCAATTTCATTGAGTCTGAGAGCTCATAGTCATTTAGGCTGACCCCTCTAGTAAGACTGCTTTCAGATCAGCTAGAGCAGCTAGTCACAATGGGTAATTTTCAGTCCTACTGTCCTGGGAAAGGCACTGGTTTGCTACTGTAGCTTGGCTTATGTTGTTCATGAGTTCATGTCATAGTGCAGCCTTTTTTATGCACTTTTATACAATTACTAAGTCTGCCTTTTTGTTCATACTCATGGTTACAAATGTTGAGGTTCTGTTAGTCATGTGAAATTTGTTCTATCAAAGATTGTTTTTGTTTTCCCCTCAAACAGGGTCTGGAACTTGCTATGTAGACCAGGCTTACCCAGAACTAAACTGCCTCTTTGCCTCTGCCTCCTGCATGCTGAGATTAAAGATATGTACCACCATATTTAGCTATGATCCATAGTAAAAACAAAATATTATACAAAGTAAATACTGCTTTTGCATCCCTCTGAATGTGCATGGTTTTTGTTCTTTGAGCTTAAGAATCTTTTGATTTTGCAACATTAGATAGCCAAGTAAGGTAGAGCTAAGACATCCTTCAAAGATAAGTTAGCAATGTTCTCAGGAGGATCAAATAATGATGAGTTAGTAGTATGAGCATCCGTCAAGGAATTATATTTACTGCTATTTAAATTAGTTGCCTTCCAGCTATCTGAGTATTGTGCCATTCCAGCCAGAAATCCCTCTAGTTCTGGAGTGGATGCAGCCAAGGTGCTTCTGTTCTTTTGAAATTGTAAGTTCAGAGCATTTGTCTTGCATAGTGAAAATGATGTCAACTTTGTTCACAGAGCTCAGAGTTCTACAAAGTCACCACCGAGGAGTATCAGAAAGCTGCTGAAGAGGTGGAAGCCAAGTTCAAGTAAGTTCTTCACCCTGTCCTCCAAGGTGAAAGCTCAGTTGTGTGGCTTTCTGTACAGACCACTAATACTTGGGCTGGGGAACACTTGGAAGTGTTTGGGGGTGGTTGAGATTGCAGCCATGTTAACTTCTTTTCTGGAGCATTCGATGAAAGCTTGTTGATGCTCAATACATTTTATGAACTAAGTGGAAAATGAAAGAAATGGTAATTTTCATTTGGAATGATAGATGACATAAAATGCCCTTAATTTGAAGGTTCTAGTAAATTGTTACCTTAATTAATGGAAACATGGAAAACACTGAGTTTTATGTAGTAACATGATGGACAGGTCCAAATTTGGCTATCCTCCCTTTCTTGCATTTAAACTATTTTTATTTCTTCACAAGTACCGTGAACACATTTAAATCATAGACTTTACCTTGCCCTTGATTATGAAGGTGATGTTAAATTGCTACATCTATTAATCCTTATGATATCTAAATGAATATTCTGTAATTGATGAATCAAAGTGCCCATGACCTGCAGCCTTATCTGTTCTCTTTACTGCCAGTTTTCAGATTAGGTAAGAAGATATTTTACTGAGTATATAAAGGATTCTATTATATAACCCCTGTTTGTAGCACATGTACAAATTAGTGAAGAAAAAAAGGTGTTGTGACAGATTTAGTTATAAGATTGCATTGAGCTCTGACCTCCTTCCTTGTTCATGTTTATAAGCATTTAATAAAATGATTAAACCTTAAGGTAGAATTATTAGTTTCTGCTTCAGTGCAGTTTGTATGGTAATGGATATTTGTGTTACTTAAATGTTGATTAAAATAAGTTTTTTTTAAGGTGGTTTAATATGTATTTAAATAGATGGAAACTTTTTATTAGCAAAAAAGGGGGTGCAGAAGAGAACTCCAACAGTGAGTCGCAATTCAACCAATCAGTCAATATCTCATTTATTTTTTTGAAGGTGGAGTTTCGTGTGTCGCAGGCTAATCTCAAACTTGGTATAATAGCAGGTCTTAAATTCCTCCTTCTTTTGTCTCCCACCACATAAGTGCTGGCGTAGTAGGTGTACCCCACTGCATCCAACTGCAAATCTCATTCTTGAAGATCAGAAGGATTTAGATAAAGGGCTAGGGACATACCTTTGGTAGAGCACTTGCCTATTATGAACAAGGCCCAGGGTTTTATCCCTGGTACCACATTAAACCAGATCAACCTAGGATATACAAGATGCTGTCTCCAAAATAAAGATTTAGATAAAAAGTTGAGTGTTGAACTAATATTAAAAAGTAGTACTGTGTTGGGCTGAAGAGACGGCTCAGCATTTAAGAGCACTGACTGCTCTTCCAGAGGATCCAGATTCAATTCCCAGCACCTACATGACAACCCACAACCGTCTGTGACTATAGTTCCTGGGGACCCGACATCCTTACACTAGTATACATACAAGCAAAATACTAATGCACATAAAAATAAATATTTTTTTAAGTAGTACTGGACTTATGTGTTTTTTTTTCTTTTTCATTGTAGTTGTTTATCTTTGGTCCTGATAGAATAGCATATCAAAAACCCTTTGTCTTAATACTTTGAGAACCTTTAACTTGGGTTCCTGGATACATCTTCATTAAAAGATAATCACCATAAAAATAACTAAAATTTAAGTGAGACACTAGTATAGACTAGAATGATCTATGGAGTCTTCATAAAGAAGATGGCATTTGTCTGTGACGAGAAAGGTAGTGAGTTGGTGGACGAGAAAGATGTCCAGAAAGAAAATGTTCCTATTTTGTTGGTGGGTGACAACTTTAGTGAAGATCAATGGCTTTACTTAAGAGATTAGCACAAGATAGAGCTTCAGAGGTCACAGGTCTCCAGCTGCTACCCTAAGTTGAGTCTTCATTTAGTAAGAAGTCAATGGGAGGAGCTTGAGCCTAAGAGTGCCCTGACTTCAGTACTTTGTAGTAGACATCTAATGGTGGGTTCTTGAGGCTTGGTTGGACATAGAAGACACCAGAATCAAAAGTACCAGGTGGGTGTTCTCAGCAGGTAAACAATTGGTGCAAAATTGTTGTTAAGATTGGATGTGAATTAATAATTGGCCAATGGCTTAAGTCCCAGGTCTGCAAAGTACTGGAGGATGAAGTCCCAAACCACTATTCAGGGTTAGATTCTTCTAAGGCCTCTCTTCATGGTCTGCAGATGGCCACTTTCTCCCTGTGGGTCCTTGCTTTGTGCATATCTTCTAATCTTTTAAAAATATATAAGGACACTAGACTAGAGCCAATCCTTATTTCTGCCTCTGCTTCCCCAATGCATGCTAGGATTAAAGATGTGTCACCATGACCACCCCTGAAGTATCCCTTTAAAGACGTTTTGATATAGTAGGCATTAGGGTTTTAGCAGATAAGTTAGAATGTAAGGACAGCACAGTTGAATCCTTTATTCTGTGGATAAGAGAGGCAAAAGAACCAAGATAGTGAGGTTCGTGGCTTAGCAAACTGATATGTTGATTCTTCTCGATGTATGGTAGGAGATTAGAAAAGTCACTCCCGAATTGCCTCACTGGGCCATCCTGCCATGCAGTCTGGGCTTGACTACTGTAAAATGAGAATGAGAGAGAGCCCATAGAACACATGAATGTTTTGATGATTTCTATAAGAAAATGTGGACCCAGAGGATAGACTCAGTAATGAACAGAACCCAGTAGCATCATTCTTTTACCTTTCTGATGTAGTGTTATTTATAAAATCCATTTGGGATCCATCTGGCCTAACTGATGAATAAGGCTTTGCCCTTGCCACAGATAGGTCAGGATTCCTGTCAGGCTCCTTGAGAGCGAACTTCTAAACCCTTGGAACCTCTCTCGTGGTAGAAATCGTTATTTATGGCGGACTCCTCAGCTCACTTGATATCAGGGGGATCAGGGGGATAGGACACCAGAACTGGGTCATGAGACCTCAGTAAGCCTGTGCACTAAAGCATGGGTATGCTCCCCTAGTTCGCAGTTGCTAGTAACTGGCCAGGTTGCTAGTAACTGGCCAGGTTGCTAGTAACTGGCCAGGTAACCGGCCCCTAGGAGCAGTATCAGCTCTGCATTCGGATCTTTCCAGACTGCCTCTGTATTCCTCCTTTAGCTAATTCTTTGTTACCATTACCCAGCAATGAATTGTAGCTGACCTTGGCTTAAGTCAGTTCTCTGAGAGTTTTTAGTGAATTCTGGATCCTTAGGGCTGTCTGGGAGCCTTCCATACTCTGTGTTCTGTCAGTTAGTGAGGGTAGTCTGTACGGTGCTCCCTCAGACTCTACCATGTTCCCAGCTCTAATGCCCACACATGTGCAGGCTTCATTCACACTTTGTGAGGGAGCTTCAGGAGTAATATTTTAGAGGAAAGCTCTCACTGGACCTGTGTTGTTGTTTTCTGACTACTGCCTGCTAGACCAAGCATCCCAGAGTGTCCTATTTTGGTTTGCACTGTGACTATAAAGGAGGTTTCCCATCTTCAAAGAATAAAAATTGCTTAGAAGAGTCCCTTGTCTCCTTAGAAGATTGACCATCTTAAAATATCATGACCCTCCATCTGTTCCAAAGCAATGTACTATATTTTATAATATAACAGCCGCCTTGTCTGGCCCAGTTATTCTGGCTGCTGCTTATCTGTACACCTATATAGCATCTGTGAGGTTCTCTTTGAAGCTGTCCGACTGACCATCTTGAACCTGAACTCACTTAAGCAGCAAACATAGGACCACCTTTGGCCCTTTAGTTAATTCTATTGGATGGAAGGAGATTGATTTAGATGCACCTTGGTTGGCTGCAGGAGATGGATATTTTCTAAATTGCCATTTTAAGGGCAATTTTATATGTCTAAAATGGGACTCACATGAAGTCACCAAAACAGGAAAGAAAGTAAAATCATTTCGGGGTAGCACATGACTAATAATCTTGTTGTCAGCACCCCCTGCCAGGACATTCCAGGGCTACTTAAAATCCTAACTCAAGCTTCTGTGTGGCAGGCTAGAGTGTGAGCACTCTAGAATCAGTGGGATTTTGTTTTTCTACTTCATCTACATGGCATTCATTCCTAGAAGCTCTAGTGTGACCCTCCCCTGTGGTGGACTGTATGTGTGTGAGGAGGGCAGGTGGTCTAACTGGGCTATGAAACAAATTAGGGGTCTGCAAGATGGCTCACCAAGTAGAGGCCAGTTTCACAACGTGGGTTCAGTTCCTAAAACTGTCGTAGAAGAAGAGAACATACTCCTGCACGTTTATTGTGTGGGCAGCTGCTACTGTCTGAGCGTAGAGCAACTAAGACGCTGGCTTGGGCCGTGTGCTGTTAGCATCCTGCTACTGAGTAGGACTGAAAGTTATGTTCTGTATTGAGCCTTTTCTACTTTAAAGTCAATTAAAATATTACTTTACCAATGTTACATCAGGTTTAGAGTGTAGCTCACGGGATAGGGTACTTGCCTAGTGTGCCGGAAGCCATGGGTTCAATCCTTGGTACTACAAAGAACAAAAAACTTTGTTATGTGTAGGGCTTAGGGCAAGTCTATTACAAAGTGAATGTTCAATAAATGTTAGATTTTATTATATTCAAGTTATAAAACTAGGTGCCAAAGGAGTACTTAAAATCTAGATGGTATTAGGGCACCCTAACAGAGCAACAGAAGAAATAAGGACCCCAAGGGAGTCCATAGTTTAGATTTTCATGACAGTATAGCTTTCCGAGATGTATCTCCGTGAAGCAATGAGTGCTACAGGGCCCTCCTGGTTCCTGTCAACATCAGAACCACCTCTCCCTGGTAGATTGGCATTCATGTATCAGCGTACAGAAGACAGAATGCCCCCTTGTTTGCACACAAACTGTAAAGCAAAGACCAAGCGAGTGTAAAGCTCATACCAAAGAAAACTCTTCAGCAGTAAAGACAATGTAAAGCCATGGATAGCACTTTAGAATTGTCTCTTCCTTCCTTCCTGGGCTGTCCTTTAAATGGGAAAGTGACTG